GACTGGCAAGTCAGATCACTTGATGGCACATCCAAACTGGTGGATTCCCCTGCAGAAGTTGTACTTACTCCACTGTTAAAAAATTGTTATTAGAAGTTGTAAACATTAGGAAATTAATATTTCCTTTCAACAGCACCTCTGAAATACAGTGAAAGATTTGTGATAAAGCTTCTAGGACAGTGTAAATTACAGAAAATCCTGTAAAAGCAAAAGAATTTATACTGGCTGATGGTCTGCCACTACAGTTTACACCATCTGAATGATGAGATAGATGTAAGACAGAGCGTAGACTATGTTTTTTGAGGTTTGACAAAATTAAGCAGTTTAAAGATTTTTTTTTCTCAAACTTGGGTATCACTAACAAGGTTTTCATTTTCCTCCGTGGGTCTTTTCCTTGTGGATAATCAGGAAGATATATTTGGATTCACTTAAGAACACAACCCTGCTGTTTATTAGGCGGCTTTTGCAGCATCTGGCTCCAGCCCTGCCGACTGGCAGGGAACAGACTTCAGAGAGGGGAGGGGAGTTCAGCTTTCTGTAGAGCTTCTCACTCGTCATGGAGATGCTGCCGTGGTGTCATGATGAAAAAATGTTGGCTTTGCTTTTGTTGGTCAATACTGAAAAATGATTCCTGACATTTCTACTGTGTATTTTGGGAGAAATCTGTTTCAGTCTTGGATTGTGCTTTACTTGAAAAAAAAATGCCTTCCATCTAAAGCACTTAGTAAAGATTTTATTTGTTTAGTGTAATGGTTGATTCAAAAAAACCCAAACAAATCCCAAACAAAACAAAAAAACCCACCACCACACTGATTAGCCTAGAGCATTAAGTTTATCGACCAGGCCTGTGTCTGGATTAGATTATAATTGTCTACCATTCAGTTACTCAAATATTTTCCTGATCACTCATCGAGAATATTATGTTTTTCCTTCTTCTTGTGGTTTCTTTTCCTTCCTTGTGGGTGGAACTCCAAGTCTTCCTCTGATAAAAGCTTGTGGCTTTCATTTAGTTGGCTTACACTAATTGCACAGCACACAGAAACTCAGCTTTGTAACTATGATATAAATCCATCCGTAAAACCTTACTATTTGCATGGATATGGGTATACATAAGAATCAGAACATAATGTTGTAATTAATGTGACTTAACACCTGGTTCTGGATAGCTGCAACACAGTAACTGACAGTGGTTCCTGTTTAAATATCATCACTGTTATTTTGTTTACACCAGGGCTGCTGGAGTCCTATAAGGGAGGTAGGGCAGGGCAGGAGTTCTGCTTCTGGGCTGAGGCTAAGGCATATAACCCGGGAGAGTTGCCCAAGCCATTGGGAAATGCTAGTAACACTGAATGATCACCATAAAGGAAACCAGTTTTCATCACTCGCACTCAGGCTGATGTTGAAGCAAAGGAAGGAGTGGGACAGAAAGTCAGGGTGATGCATCTAATCAGTGTCATTTCTGGCAGATCTAGAAAGAGACCTTAAGACCCTCCATGTCCGACTTCTAGGAGTCTTTGGCTAAAAAAGTGAATATCCTATTTGTCTTGGAAAAAAATATTAACTTGGGTGTAATTACCTAAGAATGGTAGAAAAACTCTGGGGCTGTGATTCTGAAGCAATTGGGTACAGCCAGATAGTTCATTCTTCCAGCCTCAAGCTGTTTAGTTTGTTCAGGTTTGTTTGTTTGTTTGTTTTTGTGATAGTGGCAATATTGGATGGATGCTGAATTCATTATCAGTGTAGGTTAGGACTGATTAGAGCCTCACTGTCAAATTATATCTCAGAGAGGACTAGGTGTCTGCCCCCTGCCTAATTTATGACTCTTCATCAGGGTTAGATGAGAAGTGGATGCCAAGATGCAAAGGTCTGCCACAACAGTAGCAGCTGTGAGCATGCACAGCAGCAAAACCTTAAGAATTCATTGGCAAAAACACTAGGAAAGCAACAACTTGGAAATAAGCAACTATTTTTTTTTCCTGAGACTGGCTTTATTATCAAATACTGCGTCTTATTTTTTGCATGCTTTTGCATCCACCCATGATCTGTGCAAGCATTTCATTTCAGCAAAATGGGAGCTCACAGACTCATAGAATATCCTGAATTGGAAGGGATCCATTATGATCATCAAGTCCAGCTCCTGGTCATGCACAGGATAGCTCCAAGAATCACAAAATGTGCCTGAGAGCATTGTCCAAACAGTTCTTGAGCTCTGTCAGGTTTGATGCAGTGATCACTTCCCTGAGGCCCTGTTCCAGTGCTCAACCACCCTCTGGGTGAAGTACCTACTTCTAATATCCAATCTAAACTTCTCCTGACACACCTTCATGCCATTCCATCAGGTCCTGTCTCTGGTCACAAGAGTGAAGAGATTGGTGCCTGGCCCTCCACTTATCCTCACGAGGAAGTTGTAGACTGCCATGAGGTCTCTCCTCAGTCTCCTCTTCTCCAGGCTGAACAGACCAAGTGACATCAGCCACTCCTTGTATAGCTTCCCCTAAAGCTGTTTATTTCTCCTCTGTACCATCAGTGATAACATGGAAGAAGAGTAGACATGAAATTAATTGCTCCTATGTCCAGGAGACAGACTCGAGACTTGTACTGTTGTTCTTTGTTGATGAGCCAGTATTGCTGGACCTAGTGATACTATTGCCTTTTACATAAAAAGAAGCTGTATTGAGGTTTGGTGTACAACTCACATGATACTTCTGCGATCCAGGGCAGCTGTGATTTATTTTAAGTTGAAGAGTTTTCAAAGCACTTATTTTAAATTTTGCAATAAAAAAAATCTATCCTTATTTCCCTGTATACTTGCCCTTCTTTCTCACTGTGTATTTATTTATAGCCACTAAGATTCCAAGTCTGCCTTTCTGGATCAGCCCAGAACTTTCTCATTAATACATCAAACTGAAATCAAACACTAATATATAAAAGGTTGCATATTCTGGGCAAAGCAGATGCAACAGATGCAGCACAAGAAGTCACTGATGGAAACAAACCTGGAAATACAGAAAGTTTTTTCCTATGTGATACATAAAATCTGCTTCACAGGTCAAGAATAGTGTCTGTCTCATGCTTCATGCAACTTTTAGTGATGTCTTGGGCGACATTTTTAAATATGGATATCTTCTGGTCATCTTTAAAGTCAGCTTGCTGAGACAAAAGCAATATTTAAATTAATAGAATTGGGGGGTGAATATGTAAATATGTGATTATTCTCTTTTGGAGCATTGTATATAGAATGGTTTTGGTGTTTAAACTGATTGCGTAAAGCTAGTTTACCAGGAAATATCAATAAAATTTCCCTTTTGATTCAACTGGTTCTTTTCTTCAGCAGTAATCAACTCTGCAGCAAGTCTGCCCCGTTTGTGCTGCTCTTTGATTAAATCAAATTACTCTTGGGAGACTCCAGACTGCTAGACTAAAAAGCTAGTAAAAGCTTTTATATAAAAGTAGCTGTATGGCATTTGATTTTTATAGCTCATAAAGATATTCAGAAATATTTGCTTTCTTTTTTGTTATTATTTGCTATTTTTGAAACCTTTGTTTAAAACAGAGCTGTCATAAATAGACTCAGCAGCCTGTAAATCCAGTGGTCCCTCTGCATGATAGAAAACCATCTGCCTGTTCTGCCATGCTGAGAACGAGCTCCAGAGGTTTCCCTGACTCAGACAAAATGAGAAAATACACTTCTTTGAGCTAAAATAACCCACTTAATAAAGCATAATTCTCTTCCAATCAAGTTACCTCCTATTCCTGCTTTATTCCAGCCTCTGATTTTTCAGCTTGACATAAATCCTTATTTGCTTGCTATAGTTATGTTTAATATGGTTTTAAAGCTCTGTACCTGTATGCTGTTCTGGTGCCTGCCTGGGAATCACTTGTGAAACAGAACTCGATTTCCTGTTGTTTGTGCCGAAACTGCTAAAATTATGTTTTTCTGTTTCATAAAACTTGCTGAGTGGGGGAAAAAAAAAAAAAAAAAAAAAAAAGAGTAGCATATAGTGACAGGATATCATCCTTCCAAAGTTACTCTAGATTAAAAAAAAAAGAAAAAGAAAAATAGTTGTAATTAGTAACCTACTGTACAAATGAGCTGAGTAATAGTTTTTGTGTTTTGCTTTGGTTCTAAGCAGATAACCTGGAAAGGACCTAACCCTTTTTTGTTGAGTTTTATGTGTTTTTTTTTTTTTTCATTTATTGTGAAGGTAATTTTTTCTTGAATTAAGTTTTATTTATGTGGTTTTTTTAAATTAGTTTCTTGAACTTTGAGAGGTGAGAACGGGAAGTATCAGTTTTCTGGCTGTGAGGGTGGGCGGATCACTGCTGGCAGCAAAGACTTTTTTTAAAAAGCTACAGAAAAGAAAGCTTTTACTGTTCTGAACTATTTTAATGCATTCAGTGTTCTTTACAGTCTGGAAGTGATGAGTACACCAAGTTACAAGCGCAGATTTCTAAGAAGGCTTGATACAAAATGATGCTGTTAACACTGGACTGCAAGAAGGTCTAAGAGTGGGTGCCTTTGGAGAATCTTGCTATAATAGCCATGAAAAACAAAACAAAACAAAAAAAAAGGAAAAAAAAAAGGAACTGATTCTTTGTTTTAAAAATAGCCCTGTGAGTAGATTGCTGAGATAAAAGAGAAAGGTAACAAATGGAAGAATGGACTTGAAGGTGTATGTACTTGGGGGAAAATTCTATCTAGGCTCAATGAAGATTTTTGATTAGTATTTAAGCATTAGATTAAATTATTTTATCTGATTAGCATTATTTCAGCAATCAAGGAACTGAATATGCTTTACTGCAGTTGAGTAAACTCTGAAAGTCAATCCCTTGGACAGCTGAAGATGTCAAAAACGTGTAATCATGCAATCTGATTGAATTCTAATGCTGGGGAGCAAACAGCTCAAGGTTTTAAGAAGTACTGCTATTCACCACAGGCTTACTTTTTATGTGACACAGTCTGTGTTGCTAATCAGATGTGGTATGTTTCTGTCTTGCAGATTTACCGCTGGATTATAGATTTACACGATTTTCCTCAAATAGCTCTGCAACTGCCGGGTACTACCCAAGCCCTCCAAGAGCACTGCTGCCAAATGAGGAGTCAGTGACTGTGAAATAGGTTTTTGGCTTTTTCCTTAAATAACCCTATGGCCCTTACTTAAACTGCTATCAAATGCTAATTGGTGAAAATGCTGTGTGATGCTTCATAAAATAGAGTGATGGATTAAAGCAGATTCCTGTGTAGACTTGTGTTTCACTCGTTTCTCTAGTCCAGCCGGAACAGATAAGCAAGGCATTCTTCTCTCTATATCTTCGAACCACCACTACCTTTTGCAAAGTGCTATTGGCTACTGGCTTTTTCCATGCACTTCCCACAGCCTTCAAGAGAAATGTAGTAGTACTAGCTCATGCCAAGTTACATTCTACATTTTTGAGGACATTTTAGGTACTATCCCTGTGTAAGGTGATGTTGTTGCTACCATAAACCCCAGGAATGACACAAACCAGACCCTCGGCCATATTTCATGAAGAGTTATCTTGTAAGTAATATGCAACATTTCCAAATTAGGGTTAAGCATTGATTTACTGAAAGGGAAACATGAAGCAAATCTGGGCAAAATTGATAAAAACTTTCTTTAAAACAAGGTGGATGAGGAAAGAAAATGAAAGTGCCATTCTCCTCCTCACAAACTATAGACTGAAAATATTTGACTTAAGATGGTAAGAGTTAGTAATACTAGACTTTAGCATCAATGTCTTCAGCAGCAAATCTCGCTCACTACAGGGATATGATTTGTATTAAGCAAAGAGATTCCCAGATTAAAATCTCAGATCTCTGATTACAGCATCATTGAAATTCTAACCTAAATGAAGTAATCCTACACAAATAATTTCTAACTAGGTTATAGTGCAAACCCTCACACTTCTGTTGTTCTGAATTTGGAACTGACTTTTCTAGGTTGGGGATTTTTGGTTGGTTGGTTGTTTTTTTTCTTTAAAGAAAACTAATTGAATTGTTAAAGAAAATTAGAGAGAAAATCATCTAAATCAGTCCTTGGGTCCTGGTGTCTCAGTGGAGAACAGTATTTTTTTAAATGGAAAGGTGGTAGATTCTAAGGACAGACAGAACACAAAGCTCATCAGAAGAATTACATATACCCATCTTTGACAAAGGCTGTCACCGGCCATTTGCACTTACTGCCAGAAGGACATCACAGTAGCAGAGAAAGAAAAAGATAACAGAAAGCTACTTTAAGCATTACTCCATGTGCCACTGTAGTCTGTGGCTGCAGCAACACTTGGGAAAAATAACTGAAGTGGTCACCCAGAAAATAAAGTTCCTCTTCCTGAAGACTCTTCTATTTAAAAATCTGAGAAAAGTACACAAGTCTTATTACAAAGCAGATATTGGCAATGGAGGAATGAGGAGGGCAGTTGGTGCTGTGGCAACAGGAGAGCTGTTGGAAATGGAAGTGGTGTGAAGAGCCAGGGAGAAGAAATGCACACAGCAGAAAATTGGTAAAGAGCTGTCCATATTTAACATGACACTCTAAAGACACCATCTTTGCATTTTCCTTATTTCTAATTTTTTTTGTTTTAAGCCCTGGAAATCTCTGAAATTTCTTGGATTCTCTTAGGAGAGGCTATTGACAGAAAGGTCGCTGAAGTGCCTGCAAAACTATCTTGAGCATCGGCAGGGAGACTTAAAGTTGTAAAGATTCATTAAAATCACTGTGTCTGGTTAGACAGCACTGAAAGCCACAGTTTTGCTTAAAAACAGAGATGAATACCAAGTCTCTTTTGGCGTCTGTTTTGGTATAAAGCACGTGTCTGAATTTTAAAATAAAGAGAATTTATTTCTGAAAAAAAAAATACCTGTTCTCTGAATTTACTTTATAGCTGAGCAGCAAAAAGAAAAAAAAGGTTGTCTCCAAGCAGTGCAAGGAGACGTTTGTGCTACAGCCTTGAACAAAGCAAAACTTGACCCACTCAGAATAAGATACATAAATCAACCCAAAACTTTAATAAATTAATACCTTTAATACCCATAGGGAAGTCATCTTTGATGCAAAGCAAAGTTCACTGCAAGTGTTTCCTGAATAGGGCTACTTCTTGGAAACTGAAAGCTTCTTCATCACCAGTGAGTAGGAGTTAAATAAACAAACACGGGTAGATTATCCATGGCAGACACTGGGCACTGCTGGAGATGGGGTTTCCTGAGACTGCTGCTTCCCCAGCGTTATGGGGCTCTCCAGCTCCTCTGAGTTCCAGGTCTGCGATAGTGCAGTAGCACTGGAGGAATTCCAATGGGAATTCCCAGGAAAATTTGGGACTTAGCATTCCTCAAACTGATTTACATGTTTCTTTCTGGGGCCAAGCAGACATAAAATCATACCAAGGTAAACAACAGAAGAGCCTTAAGAATATGTGGATTAACAGAGATGCCAACAGCCGGAATGCAGCTTCTGAGCTTCCATGTCAACTCTACTTTTCCACCACAGGGAACGAAAAATGCCAAAAGTGTCAAACACCCTTTTGTACACAACCTTGATGTTTTACTGTACAGTTGCTCAGAAAGTCAGGTTTAGAAATAAAGTCACTTTTGTGCAAGAAGGTAAAAGCCTCACACGCTGCATCGCTGCATCGCACAGTGAGGGATCTGATGGGAAGGTGTGGCTTCTGACTTCCCAGGGAGGGGGGCATGGCATGGGGCAGCCTGCTGCTCCTCAGCACCGTGGGAGGAGCAAGACAAGTTTTCTGGTGCCTAAAAGTGACTGACTTTTAAAGCAAAATATACCTCTTCCTGTACACATGCTTGGAGGCAAATAGCATTTCAGCTGATGCATAACATCAGATTTAGGAGGGAAAGCACATGGCTAAGCTACAGGAACCTTACCTTTGCAGAGAGTGCCAGCTGTAGTGGCATAATCACCACAATGGCTTAGCCACAGATATCTGTTGTTAACAATTGGCCACAAAGCAGCCCTTCCAGCAAGCACATGGCCAATCCAGATCACCCCAGGGGAAAAACTCAATCCTATTATAAATCCAGTTGCCTGTAATTTTGTTTTCTTCAGTTCTAAGTAAGTGGAACATCAAACCCCCTTGGTGAGTCACAGGAGAGAAAAAAAAAATAAAAAGAGGTTTTCTTCTGAGTGTTTTGGTGCAAGAAACAAATCCTGTTTTTCCATAAGCATTATAAATAGAAATGCTTAACTGGAAAACAGAGCCTGGATTAGGGCCAAAATAAGATGGAATCCAGGAAGTTAAACAGACTCGGAGATTTCCAGCTCTAAAAGCCTGCTAGCATATTTGAAGGGCAGGCTGGGAATTCCTATCTACAGGTCAATGGACTAGTACTGTGGCCAGCATGACCAAACATTTTCTTGAATATGGGACAAAGGTGTAAGGCAAATCTTTTCAGCATGAAGTGGGTACCCACAGCAGTTCTCTGGCAAGCATGGCAAGACCACAGAGGTTTTGCAGCTGGCCAGATGTCACAGTTCACAGAAGGGCAAACATCTGAAGCACCGCATTTAACTTCTGCCCCGCTGCAGCTAAACTGATTTAATCAGAACTGTGCTAAAAATCCCTCACGCCTCCCACTCACACTGCCACAGCACACATGTAGTTCTCTTACACATGGCCATAACGACTTTTAAATGCTTGCATGGGGGTGAGAAACCATCGCAGCCACTTCAAAACCATGTTATGGCTTCCAGCCCCTTCTGCAAATTAGAGGTTGCAGGACACAAAATGGCAGGAGCGCAAATGGAATAGCAGTCTGCACAGCACACACCAGAGCTCCAACAGCCCAGACAAAGCAGATTCTGCCAGCTAAAAAGGTATTTCTGTTTTCCATTAACTACTAAATGTTGAGTAAAAACACTTACACACTCCGTTCGATTCCCTCTTATAAGGCTGAAGACCTTACATTCCTTTAAAGAGTGAAGAAAATCATAAACTATCTTACATTGTATAGTGGAGGAAAAAATTAGATGTTCTTGTTCAAAATTTATGAGAGAAGTAGTTTCAGGCTGTATTTTAGGAAAAGAAGTCCATTAACTTTCAATAGACCTTGTTCTGTCACAGCACTAAAGGAACTCTAAAAATTGTGTCTCTGTGTGCCCAATAGCTTTACATTAAAAGATTAAATTTCTAAAGCCTCCACCATCTCTGAGGAATAAAAGTAAAGGTGAATATAGCAACTCTTCTCTTGCCTTATCTCAAAATAATACCAGAGAGTTGCAGTATTCTTACTGTATCTTCCCCTGTAACCTCAGCCTACACTGAGAAATTAAATGTGCATTCCCAGGTGCTAAGAAGCCTGCAAAGTATATTAATCCAAAGAAGATGCCGTTGTAAAATTATTTAAGAGAAATGGGATGTTATGAAATTAACAGATAAAAAAATTCTTTATCTTATACTGACAGAGGCCTCAAAAATATTGACTGAAGGGCTGCTGTTGAAGCAGCTGCAGCAGTGCTGGAGATGGTAGCAGTGAACTTCTGTCCTTGTTTTTTCCCTCAGAGCTGTCCAGAAAAAAAGAGCATGAATGCGTATATATATATATATACATATACATATATACACATATACATAAACAAGCATCAATTAAAGGCTAAGATCCCATGACGTGGAAACCCTGAGACTAAGGGAATGGTGGAATTATCTGCATTTCATAGGAGGTGTGTAGTTTTAGGTCAATTGAATAAACTAAACATTCTCAGGCAGTAAGCAGGGAAATCTCTAGATCAGTAGTAGACAGGTGATGGAAAATGGAGTGTAGATGAAGCTCAAGGACAAAAAGGCCAAAGGTCAGCATAAGCTGACAACAGTAGTTCAACAGGGCAATAGATGGCTAGAGGGTATCGGGGAATGGAGTTTATCACAGAATCACAGCATATGCCAAGTTGGAAGGGACCCACAAGGATCATGAAGTCCAACTCCTAGTCCTGCACAGTCACACCATATGCCCATATATCACAGAAAATAATAATTTTTAAAAAATATTGTAAGGGGCTTTCCTCTTTCCCATGTTATTGTGCAGGACTTGGAGATACCTGGTACATTACTTATATTAATCCATACAAAAAAAAATGAGAAAAAAAAAGTAACCTAAAGACAATCACATGAATTTAAGAAAATAAACCTATTAACCATTATTATGACCATTGATAGATATTCTAAACTGTAGCTGTAAAAGTATTTGTATGTACATATTATATATATGTGTACACATTTA